TATTTTTTTAAAGGCTAAAATTTAATGTCGTAGCACTCTTTGACCTGGATACAAAATGTGGTGAACGCCATCATTAATATTTATGGTCTTCCAATCCTCGCTTAAAGTTGAAACATATTCAATCATTTGAAAAAAAAAATTGCTGAAAAACATTTATCAATATTTTTTCAATTTAAACCCAGTTTTGAGTATATGTTTAATATTAACTTTAGGACTTGTATACCCTATATAATATGTTGGTTTATTCAAATGTGATCGAACCACCGTTTTTTCATTCGTTTCGCGTTGTATAACGTATGGGTTACCAATATACTCGTAATGTAATTATGAGTGAGCGCCAAACTGTTACTGTAACATCGTAACCGTTTTTAATACTAAAATCACCTTTACTCGTGTGTTTACTTGTTTATTGTTTTTGTTTTACAAATTCCGATGTCCCCGACATCGTAACAGTAATTCTACGACTTCAGAAAACCTAAGAAATTACATTCCCAATATAGTTATGTTGTAATGATATTCGAAAATGTTCGACTCATGAAAACATGTGAAACTTCAAATTGATTTCTAAAAATATATCGAATAAACAGACCGTCTACAGAATACTGTGTAAATCAATTTCAGTGAAGTATATTTGAGATTGATATTGACATACGACGACGAACACTCTTCGTTTGATGGACAGAGACGGATTTATCTTAAATACCTCCCTAGGACAGATAAAAATAGCGCCCTTTTTCCCCCTACCTTTTCTAGTATCATCGAGGGGTTGTATTAGATTCACCGAGCGAGTAGGTGAGCTCACGGAGCTCAACCTGACGAATTCGCTAACACTATATAGCCCTAGCAAGAGCAGTGCTTCGCAGAATCTACCACCGGATCGGAATCGCGACCCACCGAAAAGATGCGGCGAAAAACTCAGTGGGCTAATGTCGCCAATAAATTGAGTTAGCGTTCGAAGCTTAATTTAAAACCAACAAAAAATAAAGTTCACATATCCTAATTTATTGTATTACTTATTTATATATTCAATGCGGTTACACTTCTTAAAGTTTTTTCTTCTTAAAGGTAATGGTGAAAAACTATTTTAGGGCACATCCTACATTGTACCGTCTAAAGCCCTTAACTTCATCAAATAAATCTAGCAGTTCAGAACGGCAGGCTACTCGTCTACCTGTTCAGACTCAGAAGTCGAAGTTAATTGTTGGAAGGCGTCTCTTGGCCGATTAGCTACGAACAAATATACGTCATTATATTCTAACTATTGTCGTTATACGTAACTATCACTTATTAGAACATATTATTACAATTATTAGATATTTGATAGAGTGTAATATTCGACATCCAACCTTTGGCCTTTTATGTCAAAAATATACTTTTCGCATGCTCGGAAACGAGTTCGCAAACCGCTAATACAAACACAGCACGTGCTCAAGAGCAGACTGGGACAATACGTTATTGTGTTCATCGTTTTTATCCCGAATGATTAGCGCTCAGCCTGTATCGGTAAAAACATGAATGAAAACTGGAAAAACTCGTTCTCAATATTACTTATTATCCGAACAACAAAACCGACAATAACCACTCTTTTATTTGAAAGTATTGGCAAAAATGTACTGTTGGATTTTTGTAAATAATTACTCACGGCTTATTCTGTATATGAATAACAAAACGAGCACGTTGTCAGCTTTATTCGGCTCAATGTTTTGGTGTCACACTGATTTTTGTCACAGAAGTTATTTATCGGTGTTTCTCGAGCACTGTGACATGTCCTTCTTTAAAAGAGGCTTGTGGAGAGTATTAAGCGGTAGGTAGCGGCCTGGCTCTGCCCCTGGCATTGCTGAGGTCCATGGGTGACGGTAACCACTCACCATCAGGTGGGCCGTATGCTCGTTTGCCTACAAGGGCAATAAAAAAAAAATTAGATGTGCTCCCGGTCTACCTTGCGTCTATTACCGTCCACCATAGACGTAATTATGTGCTAACGACAGCCATCTTAAAGCCATGTCGAGAATTGTTTAGTACAACTTGTCCAATCTGAACACACGACTGGTTCACAGCGGAAATTGGAGTAAAGTTACTATCCCTAAGGACTTATAATCGCTGCTTTCCGTGTGCAAGATACTATTGTCTGAGCTCGAAGGCAGACAGGAATGCTAGTGAACCGTTAAGTGACGATACGTTACCTCTGAGCACTCGTCAACGTGAACACTTTTAGAAAAACAAGACTACCTTATCAAAAATTACTTTCAAGTAGACTAAAAACGTAATGAAACGAAACATATCAGAGCTTTTTTTTTCCTACCTAAGCTGATAGCCTTGAGAGGCTATTTCAGTGTAACCTTAACTAGTAGGTGAGCTCACGGGGCTTAAACCGGGGTGATGCTAACACTGACCCTAGCAAGAGCCGGGCTTCGCAGAATATACCACCGGATCGGAAACGCAACCCACTGAGAAGATCCGGAGAGAAACTCAGTGGGCTGTGTCTATGGGTTAATTTGCTCGTCGAGCCCTTCGTCGCAAGCGACGGATTCGACGGGGACGGTGACCGGTGCTTGTGGTACCTAAAAGCACCGTTAATGGATCGGGAGCATCCGTAATTACGTGTTTTGGGCGACGTCGACTGTTTACCATTCGGTCTACAGGATCGGGTATGTAGTTTGGTATCAGCACGAATGACTATCGAAAAAGTATTCGTATCGCTATCGAGAAAAAAATTATAGGATTTAAACAGCGCCCCTACCGGCCGTAAAAAGAATTAATTTCAACCGCACGAATGAATTTACTTACTTTCGTTTCGCAATCGAATAGTCACGTTCTCGAAACTCGAAACTTATACTCATAAAGCACAAAAACGGCAACGTATTACGCCTCGAATACTATCATCTAATCATCTAACTAGTGGTCCCCTGGTAGGTAGTCGAAATTCGACTATAATTGATTGAAATTATAAGTTTGTATACTATTATGATTCTATTGTCAAAGACTATTTATTATACTTTTTAGTCACGGATTTCGCCAAGACTACAGTTTAGACAAATATTAATAAAGGCAAACAATATTTAATCTATTCTCAATTTGACCACAAATATAGTCTGTGCATAGCAATAAGAAAAGTTTGACAATAAACAAATAGTATGCATGCGTGTGTGTGTCAAATACATGGTAGTGTGTGTAATGTATTTTTTATGCCTAATTTATTAAAATATTATAACTCTGCACTCCTTTTCTATATTCTCTATAAGTATGCGCATACTCCTCCATGCGCGCAATTTTCGTAAAAAGGGTAACAAAGTTTTTGCTTCACATATTAATATATAGATGATCCGTTTTCGTATCGAGGACATTAAGAATTCGATAAATTTTCTTGCTTGACGTACAATACCTGGAAACTAACAATAACTCTGAGCCACACGTGCTTAGACGAACCTGTTTGACAATATTGATCCTTTACACTTCTGAAATGCGAAATAAATTTCCCCTTTGTCAAACAACCGGTCGGCACTGTTTATTATCACAAAGGGTTGAATAATCTGTTTTATTTATGGAGCGATAAGGGTTTTTGTGGCTCAGGGTAAAGTCGCTACAGTAAATACTATTATTCCCATTGATTAATTAGCGAATCAATGACCTTTGAGTAACATTGAATTGAATAGTGTAATGTTGTATAATGCTACCTTAATCTAGCGATGCGCATATACTATTAGCAAATTCTTCCTACCCCCTGTCCTCAACTACCCTAGGCGATAGGACAGTTTGGAGTGTAGGAAGACAAACAGGCACTTCCAAAAACTTGTTTGATTATCCTCTTCTAAAGCTCGTGTAGGTAGAGAAAGTTTTGAGACAAAAATATAGCACCCAGGCAGTCTGGGGCCAGCAGGAAATGAATAAAAAACATGTTTAACATCGATATATTTAAAGATTTATTTAATAGAAAAATATTTACAAACTTAGCTTTTGAGTGTTAAAATATATTTGGCATTCTCTTTGTGCTGTATTTTTGTTTTCTTATTACGAAATTAAACATGTATATTGGATATAATTTAACAAAACTTAATTCTAAGAAATCTATATCATAACTTAAGTTTAATTTTGTTTTATATTGATTTTAAAGTTAACACGAAATTTAGACGCTAAATACGCATCTAATTGCATCACACAGGTTCAATTTACAGTTAATTTGTATATTTTAGAAAACTTTATAAAGATGTTTGTTTCCTTATAAAATATAATTTAAAAAAACCATCGTCAATAGTGAAATAGCTCGATTAATCCTTCGAATAAAAATACATTATCATATTCGTCAATCACAAATGTATCACAAATGACAAAGAAAATGACGTCCAGAAATTGATACATAAAAACATACTCTCGAGCATAAGCTTTCCTATTTTTTGAAGTCAGCTAAAATAGGGATTAAAAAACTACAAAGAGATTTACTTGTAGAGTTATTCTGGAATTATTGAAAACTGATGACTTTGTAATCACATAAGAATTGTAGCTATGAGAAGAATATAAATATGTTTCAACAATTTTATGTCATTTATGTACGTTTAAAACTATTTGTATCCGGGGTGTAGTTTTCTTAAAAGGCGAAAAAGTATATCAAAGAATATTCCAAAACTTTTTTTTAGTGCAAGTTAGTTATTTATACGGTAAATCTAAATTAATCTAAATAGACATATAATTGAATTGTTTTATCGTAAATATTAAATACAAATAAAAACAAAATATCTACCGTATCAATTAGTAAAAAAATTATTAAAAAACGCTACAGAAATTTTACTAAACCTAACCTATTTTAAACTAAACTAAACCTATTTTATTTTCAGACCGTCCGTAACCACAAAAACTATGAAATTATCCAAACGTTGAAAATAATATAATAGAATAATGGCCCAAGATTAAACCGTAAAATTAGTTTAATTATTCCAATGATTAGCGATAACCGAAGTAGATGCTACACCACATAAAGTTTCTAAAGATATCCGTCCGCACGTTGTTCATAATGTACTAACTAGCTCCAGGCTTTCGTTGATGATATTCTGCGTGCTCTCGTCCTGTTCCAGGTCGCGGTCCGCGTCGTCGAGCAGGGTGTACTCCGTGCGGACGCTGCTGCTGTCCTCGCTATCGTTCACGTTGAAGTACGTGACTGTGGCGTGACAGACCCGCGCCGGACTACTCCTGGCCGAGTCATAAGCTGAATCCGTTCGCGATTCGTTTGTCCGGTAGCTATCCAGGCTGTCGATCCGCGAGCTATTGGAGCTGTTGTAGCTGTTGTAGTGTAAGGTCTCGTTGGTCAGTGGCGGTAAAGAAGTTCGGCAGCCACAGAATTTGTGAACGTCTATTTCTGAGCGCGCGTCGACCGTGCCGTTATACGAGGGTGAGCGAACCAGAGAGGGAGACACGCGGTTGCGGGAGCTCTTGCGGTGCTTGTTGCCTTTGAATAGCTTGAAGGCCTGTGAGGAAATAATCGTAATATTAGAATAAAAAAAATGCAAAACATCGTTGGTAATCAATCTATACTTAATATTATAAAACTGAAGAGTCTGTTTCTTTAAACGCGCTAATCTCAATAACTACTTGTCCGATTTGAAAAATTCTTTCAGTGTTAGATAGCCCATTTATCGAGGAAGGCTAGAGACTATATAACATCACGCTAAGACCAATGCAAGTCGGTTAAAAAGCGTGATTTTTGGTAAAATAACTCCTTAACATTCAATTATTCAAAAATATTTTCACTTTCTACGTAAATGAAAAATTTGGCGTTGTGCCAAAGTAACTATTCCACGCGGACAAAGTCGCGGGCAAAAGCTTACTAGCTTTTGTCCAAGTGATTGTATTATTTACTAATAATACAATCACTTCGTTTTAATAATAAAATAATGAGTCGACTGATGGTTTACTTAATTTTCGTATATTCTGATGAACTAATTAAAGTGCATTCTAAATCGTATGAAATTACAAAAATAACAATTAATATTGGCCAGTGTAACATAATGTTTTGCGTTTCCCACACTTCACAGGAGTCATATATTATTTCATGAGGTATTATTCGCTAAGCTCAAACGTCCAAAGTAAATTGAAAAGATATATTGAACCATCATTATAATAAAAGAGATCACAGCCGTGAGCTGTTCAAGGCAACCTCATACGGAGAGATTTTATTCGATAATTATTATCGTAGCTACTAATAATATGTTCAATTACATTAAATATATTCGGAATAAAGCTTGACACACACATGTACAAAATATACGTAGATAATTATATTATAAATACACATATGTATGTTAGTATCGGTAACATAAAGGAGCCTGGTATATAATATACGGACAGGCATCGAGCCACGTCAATACTGTAGCTGTTTTGTTTGATGTTTGTACCAATATTTGACATTGAACTATATACTATCTAAAGATATTCAGATATAGTGAACGTTTGATGTTAACCGACATAGCGTGCCAGGGGCGACATGACAGCTTGAACACTAGAATAGTTCTCGTAAAGTGCAACTTTATAAAAGCTGTGTTTAAAATTAAGCTCTCCGATGACTTCTATAGTCTTCATTGAACGTTGGGATTAATTGGTGAAGAATATACAAACGAAATAAACGCATAATAATATTTATACAAATATTATTTTTTTGTTTATCGTTACCAAGTGTGTACGATCTTACGGCCTACTAGGTGTTAAGTGGTTACCCGAGCCTATATCAAATCAAATAAAATAAAAAATATTCAACATAAATGAAAGTACATACTTGTTGAACGTCAAAAAGAACTATCGCCAATTCACAAAAACTAGCCTCCGTCCTGAGAACTGGCAAGAAACTCAGCGGGCATGTTTTTTTTTAAATATTATATTATTATTTTTTAATATAACGAGAATATTGCCACCTACTTTGAAATATGAAGTATCAGTCGTTTATAACAGTACTTAATGTTACGAGAAACTCTTATCCGTCCATATAATCGGGTTGTTGGTCACGGACCACGGTCGGGACCAGTGTTTTCGTGAAAGTAATTGGATATCGATGGTCTGAGTGTTCTTGTCTCCTTAATGCTACCGCCGTCCGCGACTCAAGAGAAAATCCCTTTGTTTGCGTTTTTTTTTGGACTTTCAGCGTAAAGTATCAGCGTAAATGAATTGCTAATAAGAATTTAGGTGAACGTAATTATAAAGGGTTCATTAGCCGCTTCAGCCTCCACAAGGTTGGCTGAGCAATATCTACTGGATTCATTATTCCGGCTATTAATAGGTTTCTACGATATGAACTTCTGAAATTACCTCAACTTTAGATACGAGAATAATTAAAGAGACGCTCAATTATAAGAGCAAACAAACGTGTTCATCACACAGTATTTGCCCGATGCGGAAATCGAACCCACGACCCTCTACGCAGTAGTCAGGGGCGCTAACTACCGCCGAGTCAGTCGAATTTACCTTTGAACTTAGTTAATTATCGTAATACAGTGCTTAGTGCGAGTTTTTAACGTTCTCGATAGTGTTAAAGTTAACTTAAAGTATGCAGTTGTAACAGCGCCCCTAGCGGCAAACGTAGGCAAACGTTCTAACTCCATACAAAATTGAGTTAACTTTTACTGGTGGTAGGACCCCTTGTGAGTCCGCACGGGTGGGTACCACCACCCTGCCTGTTTCTGCCGTGAAGCAGTGGTGCGTTTCAGTTTGAAGGGTGGGGCAGCCGTTGTAACTATAGTTGAGACCTTAGAACTTGTATCTCGGGGTGGGTCTATGGGCTCCAGTAACCACTTAACACCAGGTGGGCTGTGAGCTCGTCCACTCATCAAAGCAATAAAAAAAAAACTTTTACGGTATCGACAACGTTAAAAAAGTCGCATTAAGCACACTGATGTGCCGGCCGTCTGCCACAGGGCCCACAGGTGCAGCCCCTCGCCCTCGGGTTCCCACGGACGGGGTTCGCATTAATAGTCGTCACGCCCGAGCGCCCGTCGGGGTGAATATCATTTTGCAACGTTTAACGCAATTTTAGTTTCCAGGAAAGTAAGTAATTGTTTTAAATTGATTAATGGCTGAACTTTTTTTTTCTTGTTTTTATTGCTTAGATGGGTGGAGGTGGACGAGCTCACAGCCCACCTGGTATTAAGTGGTTACTGGAGCCCATAGACATCTACAACGTAAATGCGCCACATACCTTGAGGTATAAGTTCTAAGGACTCAGTATAGTTAGAACGGCTACCCCATCCTTCAAGCCGAAACGCATTACTGCTTCACGGCAGAAATAAGCGGGGTGGTGGTACCCACCCGCGCGGACTCATAAGAGGTCCTACACACCTCAACATAATAGTTATTATCTACGGTAGTCTGAAAGAAAGAAAGCAATTGCTTCAATATTTAAACCTCTTTTTTAAATCTGTTTTTTTTTCACGTTATCTTTTTGAACGTACATAGTCAGAGAGGAGTTTTTCCAATTACAGAATGAACATAGGTTCCATCATAGATTATGATAGTCGACGCTAATGCGCGGCAAATTTTAATGTAATAAAGGACCAAGAAAGCTTTATTTACACAAATGACACAAATTACCTCGCAGGATTCAACTGGGTCGAGGCCGGCCCTGCGGGGTAGTTACCGTGGCTGCTACTTAATTAGTGATTAGCTAAGCGAATACGTGGATACCTAACAGCTCAACGACTGGCAGCTCCAAATCCACATGATGCTCTACTGATCGAACGCTTGTCAAATAATTAATAGCATAATTTCAGGTTTCATTGTAATTTAATTAATCATTATTTACCCAATGATATGGGTTCGACCGCAACCACTGATGCCTGAAGATTTTTATTTAATTTATGCATTACATTTTCTCTTTTCTTCTGCTACTGACATTTTGTCGTATAGACCAGAAAAAAACAGCGTCAGATTTATCTTATTGATACAGCTTGTCAAAATCTAGTAAGTAAAAAAACAAGTAAACAGGGGAGAAACGACGCACTGGTCTGAATTATTTTGTCTTGATTGAGTGAGGTTGTTATAACATCACGTAGTAACTATGCTTTTCAAAGTATGTACCAGGAAAAGTGGGTCTCTCTCGCGCTGTAGTAATATGTATAATAGCCGTCCGCTGTGGTCATGAACCATTATAATAATAATATGGTCATCATTTAAACGATATTCTTGCCTTTTTATTTAGAATCTCGCAAAACGTTTTCATTTAAAAACCTATGTCAATACGCCCGTGGTCAGTACTCGGGATGATACAATAAATCTGAATAAACTAGAACAGTCGATTCAAAATTCAAACACGCGCGAGAAACGATCGGGCCAGTCCATTTCGATATCGATGAATTTACGAGCACGATCAAACGAGGTGAAAAGCCACGGGCTGACTTTTAAACAAATAATTATCTTCGTTAACATGATTGTGTTGTACTTACTACGAAATCAAAAGAGTACACTGACAATAAATGGTAAATTAAATCAATTTTCTCGGTATTTCCCGGGAGTATTTTATATTTCATTGTTGCGTTAATGCTACGTGTATTTCTTGCGAGATTCTTGGAACTTCAGCAATTACAAGCGAATAAAAGTTTTACGTCACAATCTTCTTAAATATATCTTCTGATTTATCAAGATTTATGTTCTTGTTTGTTCGCGCGCATGTCAAATTGAAACTTTGTAGTGAACTACATAGTTGTTGTGGACGCTTTTTAGAACGCTTTTCTCGTTATATTATCTCAACGAATATCTAGTCCATGAATGAACGCCCGTCACAGCGGCGGATGACCGTGTTCCACTAGTGAATTCAAATGACCATTGTTACAAAACATTCCGATATCATCTTAGGCACTTCGGCTTGCCCCCTACTATACTAGCTCTTTAATGCTATATATTTATATGGAACTCATTAATTAAGATAACTAATTATAATAGAGCTAAAAGTAGGGCACGCGCCAGTGCGAGACACACTTGACGATTTAAAACATCCATCATTTTGTTTTTAAGTTTTATCCTCACGCATATAATATAAGCCCTAATTTATTTTTTATTTACATTATCATGTAGCGGGTTTCCGGAAAATCGGACAGAGAACTGGTGACGTCGATTTTGCTATAAGCTAGTCGCAATTTCCGATTTGAATGATAAAAAAACCGTTACACGGTAATATTGATGCTCTATCCAAAGGTGAACAATTGCTGACAATTATGCGGCGAGTGATTAACTCGAGCATACATCTATATCCATCAGCATGGTATAAAAGCGATAATCCGACATTGTGTAAACTGCGACTGCGAATCGGAGCTGTAAATAGTTTTTCATTGTTTTACCCGAACATTAGTTGAAATAACAAACGGCCCATTAAAATCCCAGACAGCTTGGAGCTATCAAACTGTAAATCATTTCAGTTCACGCTAGTTCGATTCGACCCGAATACGAAATACCAATGATGTGGAGCACACTGAACAGTAAACAATTTTCTTATCTAAAACATTAATTATATTGATATTGTAATGCGAATGAACTGGGAATAGCTTGTCAAGTAATAGAACAAATGAGTTTATAATCTATATATTTCTTTATCTATAGTTGTACCATTTTAAAACTATAAAAAACGAATTATGTTCCCGGTCTGCCTGCTGAGCTAATAACAAGCTTACTAATAAACTAAGGTCGGTGGACTTTATGTGATATTAATCTATACGGATAATAATCAGAAGTTCCAAGTATCCAAAGTCACTCTATATAGTACTCTGTATAGTCCGCACGGGTAGGTACCACCACCCTGCCTATTTCGGCCGTGAAGCAGTAATGCGTTTCGGTTTGAAGGGTGGGGCAGCCGTTGTAACTATACTGAGACCTTAGAACTTATATCTCAAGGTGTGTGGCGCATTTACGTTGTAGATGTCTATGGGCTCCAGTAACCACTTAATACCAGGTGGGCTGTGAACCCGGCCACACATCTAGGCAATAAAAAAATAAATAAAAAAAAACCTCTTCTCCTGGTTTGTTTCTGAAGCTCTGGCTTTTAGCACATACCGTAAACCAGCATGCTTCTTTCTACCTATTTTTGCTGCGAAAAATCATAAATTCCGGTCTTTAGACTGTGTAAATGAATTGTATTGTCTGAATGTTGAATTGTTTCAATTCTAAGAAGAGGTCCTTTAACCGGGAGATATCCTTTATTCTAATGTAATTTAGACTCTATATGATCTAATCTCTCAAAGGGATAAATTAACTTTGTAAGGTCAATGGACTTAGTCAACTTTTTATTTTATTTATTTAGATTGGTGGACAAGCTCACAGCCCACCTGGTGTCAAGTGTTCACTGGAGTGGACTTGTTCACGTGTTTTTACACAATTTCATACAGTACAAAGACTGACACCCTTCAAACCGAAATGCATTACTGCATGACAAATAGGCAAGGCTGTGGTACCCGTACGGGCTCACAAGGGTCATACCACTGAATAATATCCATTTCCATCCATATTAACGAAAAAACAAAACATTATCAGTCAAGTACGTCAGTAGTGTCGCAGTACAGCAAGCACCAAGATTTTACATCAAAATCTCGTTAGGGAAGACTCTGTGTACCAAACCTTTAATATATTAGCTTATTGATTAGATAACAATAGATGTATGCACGTTTTAGTTAATTACTCAACTACATATTATTATTATTATTACTATTAATAGAGAAATTTTCACTCATTGTACTTTTAGTAGGAGACCGCATTTTTATTGACTTAACATCAAACAGATTATCCGTTGCCGTCACTACTTCAACATATTAATGTTAACAATTAAACACAGAACAATAAAATACAGAATATTTTGTTAATACAAGCACGAATCGCTATCAGCAATGCGTACTATTATGCAAATAAACGATAAAAAATATTTACTTTAATTCACTTGGTAAATATTTGTCTTTCACACGGCTTGTATCTAATATCTATGTATTTGAATTAATTATCAATATTGTATTCCAGAATAAAGTACTTTTCTAGGTGTGGTATCACTTGAAATATCCTTGTCGTAAAATTATCAAAAATCAAAGCAATCCAGCTCAATGTTTCCGACATAAAAGCAAATTTATTAACTACTAGCTAACTCGGCAGACTTCGTAGTGCCTCAATCGATAAATAAAAGACCTAAACTTTTATATAAAATAAACTTAAATCAAACGAAAGGATTGCGTCCGACGGGGGACACATCGAAGGAAAAACAAAATTGTTTGTTTTTATATAATTCCGAGCATTTTCATATTTATTCACCTTTTAAACCTTCTCTGGACTTCCACAAATAATTCAAGACCAAAATTAGCCAAATCGTTCCAGCCGTTCTCGAGTTTTAGCGAGACTAACGAACAGCAATGCATTTTTATATAAATAGATTCGTACGGTTTAGTATATAGGTGGTATATTTACGTCCTGTTAAAATAAGTTTAATCTACTATTAAATTAAAGAACATGAGCACATTGTCTTCGCCTTCGCCAGAGACAATGAGAGAAGGACCAAATAAGCTTATCTTTTTAATTAATCGACAAAGACTAACTTGAGTTAAAAATCTGTACGATTTTATAATGTTATACTTGTAATAGACTTGATGAAAAATAAATTGTATTTATAACATTGACTTAAATATATGATGAGTTTACGGCTGAACTGTTCATAGTGGTAACATTAAAACAGGTAAATTGAAACAATAAGATAATTTATACATTAGAAGAAACCTAATTCTCATAACCAAATGATTCTTCTGCATTATAATATAATATATGCATATTATGCATAAAGGAGGTGCCCACTTTTCTACAAGCAATAATTACTTCAAACTTCAACTTACTGATCCGTAAATATTGTTTACAATTTAAAAAAATGATCGCATAACTCTAATTGGAAGAAATATTTAATACTGTTCGGTTCAAGTGTTTTATTAAATAAAGATAAAAGATAGAAATTAAATTTACACAATACTCTTCCTAAAATACATGCAATCTTCTACAATACATAGCAATTTAGAATTTCCATTTTTATCATTTTTCTCGTGCGTTTTTTATCGTACCATTTCAAACTTTTCTGATACATAATAACATTGCCGCCACGAAAGACATTTTAGTCAAATTCAAATCAAATACGTTATGAGCTTTTTGATGTTTCGCAAAAATCACGGAATTGCCAGACCGCCTGATTTATAATGCACTTTTACACCGACACTTCGATTAATAAAGTTGAAAAACTTACCTTCAACCAGCGTCTTCTCGTTTCAGAAAGAAAGTCGGCAAGCACCATTTTGCACAAGAAAAGTTCGAAAGTTTTGTATTAATGGGATAACGTTCACTCGATCCGGCTGCGAAGGAGGGAATGCGGGCATGGCGGGCCCGTACACACTCTGCGTACTGCTGATTACGGGCCCCTCACACCGCCCCCGCTCGCGAGGGGTTGGAACTAAGGGCAAGTATATGTTAAATATATTAAGATAAACCTTTACTGTTCACACCCATGGTAGTTCTGCTGATTGAACATTCGGTTTTGGCAGGTTATTAAATGTGGTTTTACAGTGAAAAATTAACATGAAAATAATAAGAAAACAGGAAGTACAATGTAATTCATAAAAATTGTATTGAAAATCGTACACAAAATGATAAAAAAAATTAATTGCGATTTTGTCTCAAATTTGTTTATGTTATAATATAATGTTTCCCAAAGTTCGTAACTGCAACATGTAGTCATGATGTTGCGTGATTTTTAAAATCGCTGTGGCCCCGTGTAAATTCTTACCACTATTTTTTAACGTTTTCTTCATAATCTTTTTAGCTCCACATCCTGAAAAATATCATTCAATTTTTAAATTAAGAAGTTTTAGAAAATTAAGAAGACACCAGGGTGACAAACAAACACAGTTAACTTCGGCATATAAATAATTAAATGATATTTTTTGAGTTTAATTTTGTCACACACCCTTTAGCGATGGAACTTATTTTTGTGTGTTATGGACGTGTTTCTATGTAGTACATAATGTATCATTCTATTGTTTTATAATTGAATTCGGATTCAACTACCAACATGCCCCAATAAGAAATTTCATGTCATTGATCGCGACTGATCGCGCAGAAGCCAGTCACCGGCGACGCCCTAGACACGTCCTTACGGATCTAGCAGATTGCATTAGACGCCTTCAGCCTTAACGCTAGGAGCAGGCTTAAGGACCCCAGTAAGCCTACTCGTCGAACTCGGCAAACTCATGCATCAACCATGCAAGTTTGTGGGTGATAGGACGTCTTGTGAGTCCGCACGGGTAGGTACCACCACTCTACCTACTTCTGCTGTGAAGCAGTAATGCGTTCCGGTTTGAAGGGTGGGGTAACCGTTGTACTGTAAAAAGTATGAACCAGAATTCGTGTCTCTAGGTGGGTGACGGCATTTACATTTTTGATGTCTATGGGCGCCTTATTAGCACCAAGGCTGTGACATCGTCCACTAATCTAAGCAACCAAAAAAATCAGTAACATAACCTGAAAGCTCTGCAAAATTTTATGGCTCAATTCGACAATCGTTTTACCTTCGTGACTTTTGTGAAAGGTCACAGTATCAATACAAACATTTGACATCATTAAATATTAAATTTCCACCATTAACTAAATCGGCAAATGTCAGGGCAATAAACTTAGCATATTTGGCGAAGTTTTTGTACGATAATTATCACATTTGGAAACAGACGGCGTTTTATGTTTGAGATTAATTCTTTGATTTTGAGGTCATGGTGATTATAAGGCTTGAAAGGATCGACCATTTGAATTCTGTTATTATACCTATACATATTGTGTATTACGTGCACACTTGTAAACTGGCAAAGGCTTCAACATTTTCACATTTTTGTTGTCGAGAGAAAAAGGACGCAGTGAACCTAATCTACGTCTATAGCCAATATTGCTTAAGGAGATTGGCATTGCAATCGATAAAGTCACGGTCTAGTTTTTTACAACCTCTTTCGAAAAATAAATGTTATAGCGCTGTCTAAACACCGAGGAGGGATATTTATACCAAAACCCGGTAGCGTGAAGAGAAAATGAACTGACATCAAAGTCTGTTCTAATAGTGTATTATGAAATAGCAGCAAAAAGGAAATGGGAACGCCTTAAAGGAACACACGAGTCACGAGTAAGTGGTAGCCATTGGGTGCATTTACCCGCCGATCTAAGGCAAACGAGTTTTCGTATATAAATATCATATATAAATAAATAACTTTTTTTATTGCTTAGATGGGTGGACGAGCTCACAGACCACCTGGTGTTAAGTGGTTACTGGAACCCATAGACATCTACAACGTAAATGCCGCCACCCACCTTGAGATATAAGTTCTAAAGTCTCAGTATAATTACAACGGCTGCCCCACCCTTCAATCCGAAACGCACGACACACTTCACAGTAGAAATAGGCGGCGTGGTGATACCTACTCGTGCGGACTCACAAGAGGTCCTACCATCAGTAAAAAAATAATAATAAATAAGTCATAAGTAAAAAAAAGAAAATAAATAACTGGGAAAAAGCACACACAGTCTTCCGGGCCCACTTTAGGATGGGATGGGNAAGTGGTTACTGGAGCCCATAGACATCCACAACGTAAATGCGCCACCCACCTTGAGATACAAGTTCTAAGGTCTCAAGTATAGTAACGACGGCTGCCCCACCCTTCAAACCGAAACGCATTACTGCTTCACGGCAGAAATAGGCAGGGTGGTGGTACCCACCCGCGCGGACTCACAAGAGGTCCTACCACCAGTAAAGTAAGTACGATTTAGTTATTCGTGTGAGTACGAGTGCGTGCCCACAGAGTGATTGATTTCAGCTGTAATATAACATACATATTACTCAGATTAAGCTAGGCTACTGGAGGAACCCGGCTACACAGTAAGCCGGCAATTGCTCGTCGAAACTTATATTTGAAATCACTGAGAGACAATCTTATACCTTTAAACGAGCAATTCTTGTATATTAATATAAGTACATATATGTATATAATATAAATCTCGGAAACGGCTCAAACGATTTTGATAAATTTAGTATACACGGGATTTCGGGGGCGATAAATCGATCTAGCTACGATTTATATTCAGAAAATGTTGTTTTATTCGTTTTCTCAATAATCAACTCTTCCCGACATCTATTGGCGAATAATAATACTAATTTTCTTAATTGAGGGCAACTAACCGCTTTAAAGACACGACATCGGTCATCGTCCAGTTATATTTAATTATCAAAATTTAATTACCTTTCAAAGATAATTCATCATAACTTTTCAAAATTTGATTTGCAAAATTGAGGTTAAAATCTAATATCCTGATCGATTATAACCACTCCTTTATTATATATAGCCTCACTCGGGTATAAGTTCGCTATTTTGTTAAATTTCTATTTACAATTAACCCAATAGTGTCAGGGACAACTTAATGAACAAGCAAAATTAGGTTTACATAATAGTAGGGTACAAAGTAAAACATTTCATAATGAGATGAGAGCTGGGTGCGTGCACGAATATAGCTGATAGTTCAATCTTCACGCCCTTAGTATTCACGTTAGGGTGTCTACAGATAAACGTTAAAAATTAGGTAGATCACAAGCTTGCCTTTCTATCTACACTAATTTAAAAAGCTAACTCGAGCGCCGAGATATCTTGCAGGAAACCATGTAAGAGCACTTATGGATCACCAACTGTACGTTTCAGAATCGAACTACTAATATATGTCAGGACACCAGTAACGGACCGACATAAAAAGTAATTTTCCCTTCTTTTTTTTTCTACCTATAGCTTGAGAGGCTATTTCAGTTTCTCCTTGACGTGTAGGTGAGCTCACGGGGCTCAAGCCGGGAGTGTTGCTAACACTGGCCCTAGCTAGAACAGTGCTTCACAAAATCTACCACCGGATCGGAAACGCGACCCACTGAGAAGATCCGGTGAGAAACTCAATAGGGCATTTTTTCCTCTTCCTTCTCCAATTAATCGCTCATTGCTGAGCATCGTGACGCGCCCGCCTGAGATCTTTTCTTGTGATCTTATAGCTACTTATGTCGGTCAGTGGCATAGTGAAGTGCGTCGTTCAGTCTTGTGTCCAGATGCTCGGACACTTGACCACTCCATCTTTTTTGGCTCCGTCCTCTGGTTCGTCTTCCATCACTTTACCCTTCATTAAGGGTCTCTCCAGGTTGTCAGAGGGTTTTCTTGCTATATGACCAAAATACTGGAGCACTATAAATAGGCATATGGTAGATAGCGTCTGGTCAACTCTTAGCTCGTTGAGGATGGAAACGATCGTCCGGAAAGTCGTCCAAGGGATGTGCAACATGCGCCGCCAGCACCACATCTCAAACGCGTCTATGCCTCGTCTGTCAGACTCTTTTAAGGTCTAGGTCTCAGCGTCATGTAAAAATATTAGGAAAACGAGCGTCTCAACGATTTTCACATTCGTCTTCTTGAGTATGTTCCGATCCCTCCATATTTTATATGCAATTTGCATAGCAAGTATTCTCTGGACGCTTTTACTGGCACTGTTGACAATTTTAGACGAAAAGTCTACAACCTTGCTCAATGAGCTTTTTCAGTTAAGTAATAAGGTGTGTATTTGGTAGTAAATGTGTAATAATGTAAGGTTTTCATGTAATGTTATATCTAGTTTTTTTTTCTCTAGTATTATACAACTAACCGCTTTTTTTACCAATGCAGCCGGTACCTGTAATTTTGTTAGCATTTTGTATGAAATCAATGTTTAAGTTACCTGTAATGTTCTGTGCTGATGTATAACATGTTTATACCCAATAAATAGAATTAAATAAGTAATTTTAAATTCAAATGTTCACTCAATCCGTAAATTTGTCCAATATCATTACTAAATAAAGCTTATTAATTGTTACGGGAAGCTGAACACCAATCAGAACGATGGTCGTACAAACAAATTCAAACAGCCACTCTGTTCTCAATCTCACTAACTACGCATTACGTGAAATGAATGGTAAAAGACTGAATGGAATATATACCTGAAAAGTGTTACATTCAGCACTCGCAACCAACAACAACAACAAGAACAACAACAACAACAGCATAAGTATAAGTTTTAACTCAATGGAACGACGGCGATACGATTACGACAAACTAATGAACACATAACAATTGTATTTCTGTGTACAATATGATTTACAATGTAAGTTGATTTTCAAATTCAATTACTATAAATGTAGTGGTAATTTATTTTTTATTGCTTAGATGTGTGGACCAGCTCACGGCCCACCTACCACCACTTACTGGTGGTAGGACCTCATGTGAGTCCGCACGGGTAGGTAC